ACTCTACTTATCTCTAGAATTCTCTTATGTAATTACTTCTTGACTCCTTGTCTCCTTGTAATTATTAACCCTTGTAAATCATTATTATAAATGGTGGATTAAGTCTCCTCAAGTTGATTGAGGAACACAAATAATAACATTATCATGGTATCAGCCTAAACACCCGACAACCTTTTCCTATTTCCCAGACTTTGCCTCTTCCGTTGCCTTCTTCCTTCTTTGATCAAGATGACTTCTGGTTCATCAAGTTGTTCTGACTCTGTGCCAATAGCTACTAAGCTACCACGGTACACATGGTTACCATCAAGCTTTCCTCCAACAACTTCCTACTATGGAAAAGTCAAGTCTTCCCTATGCTCACATCTTTTGATCTTGTTGGATACGTTGATGGCTCTACAGTTGCTCCTTCTTCAACCATTCTCACTGACAACTTTCAAATCCCCAATCCCGCATACGCAGCCTGGCGCGTAGCAGACCAAAAAATTCTTGGTGTTCTTTTCTCTACCCTCACTGAATAATCTATGGCAGAGGTTGTTGGCTGCACAACATCACGAGAAGCTTGGCTTGCTCTGGAATCTGCCTTCTCGCCATCCTCTGTCTCCCAAGCCAATCAACTCCGAGATGAGCTGTTGTCCCTCCGTCGTGGCTCACTCTCTGTTTCTGATTATGGCCGCCAATTCAAAAATCTGTGCAAAGAACTGTCTGCTATTGGCCGTCCAGTAGATGAATTGGACAAAAGCCATTGGTTTTTACGAGGCTTGGGTCCTCAATACATGAGCTTTGCAGACAATCGGATGTCTCATGATCCAATTCCCCCGCTCAGTGACTTGCTTCCTCAGGCTCAGCAGTACGAGCTTCTTCTTCGTACCATGAAGCATTCGACCCCGACCCCTACTGCTTTCTACAGTTCTCACCGTCGTGGGACATCACTACGAGGTAATTCCTCTCGCCAGAGATCTATTTCCTCTGTCCAGGGTAGTCTTGGCAACCCTCGCAACAATATGTCCGGCTCTCATTCGCGTTCCAGCAATAACCATGGGTCACGTAGAGCTTTCACTCCTCGTTGTCAGATTTGCCGGGGAGATCACTTTGCTGATAAGTGCCCTCAGTACCTTCAAAATCACGGCCCCTCGTCTGCTGCCCATCTAGCTGAAGCCTTTAATTCTTCTTGCAATGTTACTGCTCCGACTTCGGATTGGTATGTTGATACAGGGGCCAGCGCTCATATGACGTCTCAGCCATCTGTTCTAGATCACTATGAACCATACACCAGAAATGGTAACGTCATTGTTGGTAACGGGTCTTCTTTACACATCTCTCATATTGGAAATTGCACTTTATCCCCTAATCTTTGCATGCTCGATGTGTTGGTTGTCCCTCACATAACAAAAAATCTTTTATCTATCAGCAAACTTACCGCCGATTACCCTGTTGATGTTGTCTTCTCTGACAAAATTTTTGTTATTCAGCATCGGCAGACAAAAGCACCACTAGCTCAGGGAAGATGTGAACAAGGTCTATATGTTCTGGAGCGTTGACATCCTGCGTTGGGGCATGTCCCGTTTCGTTTGATCTCTCTTTTACAAAAACTTGGACATCTATCGGTTACTTCAGTTTTACCAACTCCAGGTGTTTGCACCTCTTGTCAATTAGCAAAAAGCAAACGACTACCATTTCCTTTAAATGACAAGCCTGCATCTCATCTACTTGACCTTGTTCATTGTGACTTATGGGTACCCTCACCCGTTCCCACGACTGAAGGGTATCGCTATTATGTTATTTTCGTTGACGATTACTCTAGATTTTTCTGGATCTACCCACTGCGAGCAAAGTCAGATTTTCCTGCCATTTTTGAACGATTTCATAAATTTGTTTGCAACCAATTTTCCACCTCCCTAAAAGTTTTTCAAACGGATGGTGGCTCTGAGTTCACAAATCGACGTGTACGGGATTTTATGGATTCCAATGGCATTCACCATTAAATCTCTTGTCCGTACACTCCTCACCAAAATGGTCGAGCGGAACGCAACATCGTCATGTCATAGAAGCAGGTTTATCCACGACGTTTCAAGCTAATGTTCCTGCAAGTTTTTGGTTTGATGCCTTTGCCACAGCTGTCTATATCATCAATCGCCTACCAACTCCCATCTTGGCGGATAAATCTCCTTTTGAACTTTTGTTTGGGATTCAACCTAACTATGAGATTTTTAAACCATTTGGCTGCCGAGTATTTCCGTATCTTCGTGATTATGCCCCTCACAAATTGGCTCCCAGAAGTCGCCCATGTATCTTCTTGGGCTATAACAGCTCTTACAAAGGCTTTCGGTGTTACGATCCTATTACCTCTCAGGTCTTTACTACATGCCATGCTCAATTCGATGAGCAATACTTTCCGTTATCAGGTGGTCATAGCTCTTCCATTCCTTCGCAACTTGATTTTCTGCCTTCTCTGACCCAGGACCTGTCTTTTCACCACCAACACCGGCACCAAAACCTCCTATGGGTAATCAACACACCTCTGAATCATGCCATGCCTGTATTGAACAGATTACAGTTTCTCAATACCTTACACCTCCACCAGATCCTCCCACACCATCGACACCTACCTCGCCATATTCTCCCACACCACCGTCATCTCCTTCCCCACCTCTACCGCCTCAGCCTACTCATTCGATGATTACTTGAGCCAAAGCCGATTTTTTCAAGCCCAAGTATCCTGTTGATTTTACTTTCTCACCATTGGCAACCACTCTAGTAGCCTCTACTGAACCTCGTGGGATAAAATCTGCCATCAAATCTCCTCATTGGGTCGCAGCTATGAAACAAGAACCTGATGCTATTCACAAAAATGACACGTGGGATCTTGTACCATGTCCACCTCATGCAAATGTCATTGGCTCTAAATAGGTTTTTCGTACAAATTTTCACTCTGACGGGACCATCGATCGCTATAAGGCAGGGCTAGTTGCTCAAGGTTTCACACAGATCCCTGGTCTTGATTTTTCTCATACTTTCAGTCCAGTTGTAAAAGCAGCCAATGCCCGAGTTATCCTAGCCCTTTCAGTACAGTTCAAGTGGGATCTTCACCAGCTGAATGTCAACAATGCTTTTCTTAATGGCATTCTTCACAAGCCGGTATATATGGCTCAGCCCCTTGGTTTCGTCAATTCCCAATTTCCCAATCATGTATGTCGGCTAAAGAAGGCACTTTACGGGCTTCGACAAACCCCCTGGCTTGGTTTCGTCGCTTTAGTCATTTTCTTTTTCACCTTGGCATCCGGCAAAGTCGTTCTGACTCTTCCTTATTTTATCTACATCGTGGATCTATTATTTATTTATTACTCTATGTTGACGACATTATTGTCACTGGAAATAATTCTATGCTACTTCAGCAGTTTATTTCTCATACTCACAAGGATTTTTCCATCAAAGACCTTGGGAAACTCAATTATTTCTTGGGACTTGAAGTATCTCACACTCCTACGGGCCTATTCGTTGGACAATCCAAGTATGCTCGTGACATTCTGGAACGTGCTGCTATGTTAGACTCTAAACCTGTCTCCACTCCCTTAGCCCGTGGTATAGCCTTAACCAGTGTCGGACAGCCCTTTTCTGATCCCACGTTTTACATATCCATTGTGGGTGCTCTACAATACCTGACAGTCACTCGCCCTGATTTATCATTTGCTCTGAATTCTGTCAGTCACTTCTTAAATTCACCCACGGAGGAGCATTTTCTTGCAGTTAAGCGGATACTTCGGTATGTCAAAGGTACTATTCACTACGGTCTATCCTTTGATCAATGTTCTCCGCAATCCATTACTGCATACTCTGATGCTGATTGGGCAAGGTGTGTCGAGACACGACGTTCTACCTTTGGTTATTCCATATTTCTTGGGGGAAATCTTGTCTTTTGGAGTGCCAAGAAACAACCGACTGTTTCTCGATCCAGCTGTGAATCCGAGTATCGAGCTCTTGCAAGCACCGCTTCTAAGGTCATGTGGCTGGTTCACTTACTTCGAGAGCTTCTAGTTCCTACTCTCTCTCCGCCTGTCATTTTATGTGACAATAAGAGTGCTCTCTTCTTAACTCAGAACCCCATTGCCCATAAGTGTGCCAAACATATTGATATTGACTACCACTTTGTTCGAGAATTGGTCTCAGTCGGACGTCTCTCCACAAAGTTTGTTCCCTCTCACCTTCTACTTGCCAATATCTTCACCAAAAGTCTTCCACGGCCGGCATTTGAATTTCTTCGGTCCAAGCTTTGCGTTTGTTTAAACCCCACGCATCGCTTGACGGGGGGTAATAGTGTTACTTAATTAAAAATGTATTATACGCTACTTATCTCTAGAATTCTCTTATGTAATTACTTCTTGACTCCTTGTCTCCTTGTATTTATTAACCCTTGTAAATCATTATTATAAATAGTGGATTAAGTCTCCTCAAGTTGATTGAGGAACACAAATAATAACATTATCAAGAAGGTAGCTTGAATTCAGATTAGGCGGCAGAATTGAATCCTCAGAATCGATGCTCTGATACTATATGGAAGGATTTAGGAATGTAATTCGAAAATCCTTAGCAAACAATCGTAGGAATCTCTAAAATAGAAAGAAATTCGAACACATGGTAGCAAGGAAGAATATACAGAATGAGAAAAGGGAAGAAGATAAACTTGAGTTATTATTCATGACCCCCTCTCGATAGTTCGATTACAGTATTTATAGTAGTAGAAGGAAGCTATCAGCTAACTAACTTCTTAACTAACAACAACAGTATAACGGAATATACAACTTGGCTCTTCCGGATAGTTCCAAGCTATGCTTCCATGAGTCAGCCGTTGATGTGTCATGCCACACCTCTCCTTCTCTCCAGACGTGGCATATGATGTATAACATTCCCACAATCCGAAACCTGGATTTCTTGGAGCAGTGGAGGCCGTTCTTCCAAGCGTACCATCTTATCATCGTTCAAGAAGGAGACACGTCGAACACGATCCGGGTACCAGATGGGTTCGACTACTAGCTTTACAACCGCAATGACATCAACCGGATTCTGGGTCCCAAAGCCTCCTGCATTTCCTTCAAGGACTCCGCTTGCCGCTACTTCGGTTACATGGTCTCTAAGAAGAAGTACATCTACACTATTGATGATGACTGCTTTGTAGCCAAAGATCCATCTGGGAAAGAAATCAATGCACTAGAGCAGCACATCAAGAACTTGTTGTCCCCCGCAACACCATTTTTCTTCAACACTTTGTATGATCCATACCGAGATGGTGCAGATTTTGTCCGCGGTTACCCATTCAGTCTTCGTGAAGGTGCACCAACAGCTGTTTCACATGGACTTTGGCTTAATATACCTGACTATGATGCGCCTACCCAGCTTGTCAAACCTCGCGAAAGAAACATTGGGTATGTTGATGCAGTTTTGACAATACCAAAAGGCACTCTCTTTCCCATGTGCGATATGAATTTGGGATTTGACCGCGGATTGATTGGCCCTGCTATGTATTTTGGACTCATGGGTGATGGCCAGCCCATCGGACGTTATGATGACATGTGGGTTGGGTGGTGCATCAAGGTGATCTGTGACCACTTTGGGTGGGGTGTTAAGACCGGGATGCCCTACATCTGGCACAGCAAAGCAAGCAACCCATTTGTGAACCTCAAGAAGGAATACAAGGGCATTTATTGGCATGAGTAGATCATCCCATTTTTCCAGTTTGTCACCCTCCCAAAGGACTGCAACACAGTCCAGAAATGTTACCTTGAGCTCTCCAAACAAGTAAAGGCCAAGCTGGGCAAGGTTGATGATTACTTCACCAGTCTAGGAGATGCCATGGTTACATGGATCGAAGCTTGGGATGAGCTTAACCCGACCGGTCCTGCCTTGAAGGCTAAGGTGTTGTTCTGTTCGTCTTATTCTTATTACTCATTTCTTATTTTTATTTTATTCAGATCAGATCAGATCAGAAAAAGTCAGATCAGAAAGATTCAGATTAGAAACATTCATAGCAAATTGGAAACATTCTATTATTATCGATTATATTATTATTATTATTATAAATATTATTAGTAATATTATTATTATTGTTTATTATTATTATTAATATTATCATTACTATTATTATTATTATTATTATTTTATTATTATTATTAAATAATTATAATTATAATAATAGTTATTATTATTATTAATAATTTATTATAATTATTATTGATATTATTATTTATTATTATAATTATAATTATTATTGATATTATTATTAGAATTATTGTTATTAGTATTAATATTATTATATACCGGTTTAGAAAGTTAAGATCAGATCAGAAGGATCCTGATCAAATCAGATCAGATCAGAAGCATTCAGATCAGATCAGAAAGATTCAGATCAGATCATATCAGAAAGATTCAGATCAGATCAGATCAGATCAAATAAAAAAAATCAGATCAGATCAGATCTTAAAAAATTCAGATCAGAAACATTCAGAGAGTTGCCCAATGGAGCCCCCTCCAATTAAGCAGGCATCATACATGTATTAGAGAATTAATTCCAACTATGTTCAGTTGGTAATGTTGAATTTATTATGTTGTGACACTATCTATAAAAAATGCAATAATTTTAAATGTAAGATGCAGAGGTTTTGGTAATAGGAATTGAACTTTCAAACAAATGTAAGATGCGGGACGTGTAGATGTAAGATGCAGTAATTGAAGATATTAGATGCAGGATTTTAAAGCATGTGACTTGTGTTTGTGAGAAACATAGATGCATGAGTGTATGATTAAACAGGTGCAAGCAAGGATGAGAATACAACATGATGAATTCCAAAGAGCTGAAATGAGAAGCAAAGACAGAAAAATAGTATAAGATTTAAGAAACATGAAGACAAATTGAAGTTTAATTTGTTATGGAGTCAAAAATTTCATTTGTTATCTAGTAATGTAATGATGTTGTGGTAACTATGCATGTGTTGAGATAATTAGAAAAGATAGTGGAAGAGTACTGAGTATTAAGAGAAGGAGAAGTGAAAGAATTTGCAATGACTAGTAAATCAGATACGTTAAATGCACCATAGCGGGAGTTTGATTCAGACAACATGTGTTTTGGTTTACATTTTAAATGAAAAACTACTATGACATATGTAATTGCGTGGGTGGACACCTATGGAAATTTTTACATGATGTTAGTAATGAAACACCGTTCATGACAGATCGTACTATGTTGAGTGTTAGTTTTGTGAATGTGCATACAAACACTTATTTTGGAATGAGTTTACTTGCATCTTAACAGCTTGTATGATGCATTGTAATGAGTAATAGGATGTTTTTACTTGGACTGTAATTTGCTGGTCTGGTCTGGTCTGGTTTCTTTGTATTTTTATAACTATCCAAGTCTGGTCTGGTCTGGTCAGAACTAGTCTGGTCTGCTCTGATCTGGTCTGGTCTGGGACGAATTACAGTCCAAGTAAAAACATCCATAGTATGCATCATTATACGTTTGAGATTAGTAATTATGCATATATTGTTTATGACGGGTGGTTATTAATTAATTAGGAGATTATTAGTGATGAACATTGAAGTGTTGTATGAAGTAAAGTGTTGCATGAGATCAATGTCACAAGCACTACCACAAATGTTGTATGATGCAATTAAATTGATGGATTATATGGACCCCGACCCCCCGATATGTCGACTACTGGGCCTGGACAGTGGCCCACACACGTTTAGCGGATTCATATTATTGTACATTATTATTATTAAGATGTTCTAGATTAGCTTTTTATACTATCAGTCCATTTATGTAATCGGGTCTGTCAGACCCATATTAGAGACCCAGACCCGGATTTTCCCTATATATACTCCTTATAGGAGGCTTGTAAACCATAACAAATATTCATTCATTCATTCTATACACTTTCATTATTTCTTCTCTATTCTTGTTCAATCTCTCCTGTTTATACAATATGGGTATCAATTATCCAACAATGGTGCTCTCGTTGAGAGGTTTGAACACAATCAAGTGAGAAAACCTCCCAAAACATCAAAAATTCATCCAAACCACAAAAAAAGAGATCGAGCAAAAATTGTCAAAAAAAAAGAATCTGGAATCTGCAAGATCTATGCCGGAGGTGCTGACGCCAGTCGCCGCTGTCTGCCAAGCCGCCACAATGGAATCTTTCATCTGGAACTCGCCATACTCGTTCACAGATCTCGCCTGTCGCGGAGTGCCGCTAGGTAGAGCTTGCTGAAGCTCGTCGCCACACCAGTACGCTCAGATTTGGAAGTCTCTCTTGAGCCGGAGTTGTCATCATCGTCCTGGATGCTCCCGTGCGAGGAAACGTCTGCGGCTGCTCCAGATCTCGCCACCAACGTGGAAGGATCATCGTCCAGATCCTGTGCTCGCCATTCCAGATCCAGCCCCACTGGATCTCACTAGCAGTTGCTCCTGGTCGCAACCCACGTCCCCGCACACCCTATCAGTCGGACGGATTCGTTCTGATGAGCGGACGAAGCTCCCAAGCGATCCAAGTTGCGGCCCCGCTAGAAGAAACCCAAGCAGCAGCAGTTTTGTGGTACCTTCTTCCACTTTCCGGCGACGACTAGCCACGGTACCGATGATGTTTCCAACTCCCGGCATTCCGAATTAGTGACGTCCGTGCGCGAGCAGCAGCAAGGCATGGCAGCTGAGGTTGTCAGAAGGTTGCTCCGCGCCTCTCACTCCTTTCATTTTCGGCAACACCAGAGAATGGTTGGGCTGGCCTGGTCAATGGTCATCTCCAAGCTTAGGAGGAAGCTTCCTGCCTTCGGATAAGATGGCTAGCCAAGTTGTGATGAAATCTACTCATTAAAAGACTTGGTGTAGGAGGAAGTTGCCTAGCTTCGGATAAGATGGCGTACTGCAACAACATGATGGTGGCCAGTTTGACCAAGTCAAAATTGAAGAGAGGAATCCAATCTGATCTCACTAAACTCTTAGAACCGTGGGAGCCCATTAATTTCGGCCCATCAAAAGATAAGTATTCTTTAATTTTCTTATTTATTATATTTATTTAAATTATTTTTTTCGGTTAAATGTCACACTACCACACAATTATGATCAAATGCCTAGTAGACTGTGGCTTGAGACCCATCACTAGAATTTAAAGTCCTGACTCTCAGGCACAAAGCCCTGACTCTCAGGCACGAAGACCGGTCTTAGTCATTCCAAGAGTGGCGACCATTGCATACGAATGGCTCACGCATCCACTCCACTATGTATTTTATCATTACATCAACAATTCACATTCCCACTTTTTTCAAGTGACGAACTCCTGATTGGAAACATACCCCCCCCCCCCCCCCCCCCAAAAAAAATATATGCATGTTAAATGTGTAGGTACGAAGATGACTTTACTCATTTTTCACCTCGTCTCCACTCGCCTCAAGGAGTGGGGGACTGGGGGACTGAGAGGTCAGATTTTCTGGATGAGCAGCAAATATCACGCATGAGCAGGAACGAGAGCTTCGTCAGATGAAGACAGGTTGAGCTAGACAAAAGTGATTATGCCGGAGGGGGCCTACCTTCCTTGTTTCATGTTGGGGGCGTTAGGTGTACTCTTTTTCCCTTTATTATGATTTTTTTCCCACTGGGTTTTTTCCTAGTAAAGGTTTTTAACGAGGCACCTCCCCATCATGGACAAGGGCGGTGGTACCCCGGCTGAAGAGGAAGAAACCAAAGGCAGAAGAACGTTGCAGATGCAATTGTGATCTACTCCCTTTCACCTCGAGTACTCTCGGCTCCGGGAGTGGGGGACTTCTAATGGATTATATGGACCCCGACCCCCCGGTATGCCGACTACTGGGCCTGGACAGTGGCCCACACACGTTTAGCAGATTCATATTATTGTACATTATTATTATTAAGATGTTCTAGATTAGCTTTTTATACTATCAGTCCATTTATGTAACCGGGTCTGTCAGGCCCATATTAGAGGCCCAAACCCGGATTTTCCCTATATATTATACTCCTTATAGGAGGCTTGTAAACCATAACAAATATTCATTCATTCTATACACTTTCATTATTTCTTCTCCATTCTTGTTCAATCTCTCCTGTTTATACAATATGGGTATCAATTATCCAACATAAGTGTTGTATAAGGTGCATATTTTTATGTTTTATATACACTTAAAATGTTAAAATAATTGAGGTAATTGAAAATAATTCACTGTAAAAGCGATTTGTGTGTCTCATATAGTCAATTGGTATAGTATTATGTTAAACTTGATTAAGGGTTATGATGAATCCAAGTATGAAGCAGTCTGATATGGTGGATGTATTATAAATATAATTGGATCAATTCAAGATATGTTGCACGAGTACATAAACATATTATGCATATAAATGAAATAATGATGCATTTAAGTGTGAAGATGAGTTGCATGTAATATGGTTACCAATAAAGATTGTATAAAACATCTTATCATTGAGTCAACATTTTATTTTTTTCAATAGGGGAACGAATTATGCATATAAATGCATCTAATAATGCAGTTAAGTGTGATGAGAAGTGCATACTATACTGTAATAAATAGGAAATTTTATAAGCACATATAATACATACACATCTCATACAATGAACAAAAAGTAAAGATGGATTGATTACATCAACATGTTTACAATTTACATATCATAACACAGGAAACTAAAATCCAGCAAAAAACAAGAGCATTAATATAGTGACATTATGAATTTCTATTTGTTCAAGGGACAATTCAAGCTAATGAAGTTATCGTGACCAAAAATCTCATTGGACAATCTATAAACTGTAACACCGCCCCCGAGTATTTGTACTGTACCAAATTATGTATTGAACATTGAGAAATGTATAAAAGCATTTTTACGTGATTGTAAATTTTTTATCATTTCTATTACGTGAATAGTAAAATTCACGTGGGGCCCACACCGGATGTGGGGCCGCCCGATATTGTCGGGACCACATATTATATTAATCTTGGACTAAATAATATGTATATGGTGGTGGATATCCTAATTGGGCCATAGCAATGGCACAGGGTTGACCGGTTGGTCAAACAGGGCCAAATTATCGATATCGGCAAATTTATCAGATCACAGTCCAAAAAGGGATTTCGGAGACTTCTAAATTAAAGTTGGGCAATGCATATTGATTCTAAGGTCCAATAAGGATTGGGAACAAGTGTTATATTTTATTTGACCCGGTAGAATAAAATATACTTAAAACAGTCCGGAAAATACAACTTTCGGGACCGATTGTACATTCCGGGACACAAAGGGTTGACCTCCCACATGAGTGGGGGCCAACCCACGTTCTTAAGCTGGTAAATGTATAGGGGAGCCGCGCCTTTAGGATGCTGGAAGGGAGTGAGAAGGGGGGGTGGAGACAAGGTGTGAAAGGAAGGGGGTCCCTCCCTCATATCATTGATGAATGATCCAAAAAGGACACTCTCAACCACCCCAGCCCATACACTGCGTCCCAACCATCATTTTGGAGGAGAGAAGCTCTGCAAAAAACTCCATTTTCATCCATCATACACGCACCAAGTTGAGGGAGGAAGAAGAAAGGAAAAAGAGAAGAGAAA